GGCGCCCACCCGCCCCGGCGCCCACAGACCCGAAACACCTCCAACTTCACTCCCATGTCGCTCCCCTGAGGCCACAAAGTCGCTCCGGTCCAAAGCCAGCCCTCAAGAGACACAGCGTCGCTCGACCGCAGAGTTGATTGGCCGAGGAGCTCTCGCGTTTAATGACCTCATCTCCGGCTCTCACTCTACTTCCGGTCGCTGAGGAAGACTGAGGGGAAAGTCGCGACCCGACTGCACGCTCCGAACGCGGTCAGCCAATAGGAAACGGATCTGGCTCGGGGAGGGCGGGTCTTCGGATAGCGACGTCATTACAACGCGACTGTTGGCTGTAGCTGGAGCGCTGGCAAAATGGTGGTCATGGCGCGACTTTCGCGGCAGGAGCGGCCGGACCTTGTCTTTGTGAGTCCGCAGGCACTGGAGACAGAGCCTGGATGCCTCAGGCGGTCGGGGCCTGACCCCCCGGGGATCTGGGCCAAAGCTATGTCGGCCCAAGGGCGGGAGGAAGCTTACGGGCTAGAGGTGCAGTCCGGACCGGGCTGGCCGGGAGTAGACGTCTGGTGCCCGAGCCCGGCGCCTGAGTGAAGCACTGCTGTGGAGGTGAAGGGCCGGGCGAGCAAAGGGGAGCGCGCGGAGCAGGAGAGGAGAGAAACTCGAATGGCTGACTCTTGAGAGGCCTGGTGTTGGAAGGAAAGGCACCAAACCCGGTGGCCGGGCCAGGACTCTAGTGTCCGGGTAACGGTCCTGAGCGGCACCGTTTCTGGGAGAAAGGCGTGGTGTCTGGCTTCGGAGCACCCTGCCGTCGGAAGTAAAGACCTGCTGGTGCGGACATGTCAGGCGATGGCCGGCGGGACCCAGAGAGCCCGAGAGTGACAGCTCAGAGAACAGTTACCTGTCAGATGCCAGATGGTCTGGATGGTGGGCTCCGGGGAGTGTGGCGTGTGGGCGCCGGCAGGTCCGGCCATGGAAGGGGGTCAGGACAATGAGGCTCCAGGGGGTAGGACAGGGGCGGCGGGGCCCGGTGTGTGTCCAGGTGTTGATACTCAGGGAGCAGGTGTACAGCCAGGCAATGGCTCCGGAAAGGTCAAACGGTCAAGCCCCCAGAATAGTTACAAGAAGAATAGAATGTTTCCTCATGGCGCAACCTACCTGATTTTAGTAATTTAGCAGCTTGATTATAGTGACTCCAACTTTATTTACTTTTCTTCTTGTTTGGGGGATATTTCTTTTCTTTCTTTTTTATCAATCCCCCTACCTCTCTGCTTTGGCAACTATCAGCTTGTTCTTTTTTTCTTTCTTCCTTTTTTTTTTTTATCAGCTTGTTCTTTATATGTGTGGTTTATATTCTGTTTTGTTTATTCTTTTTTTTTTAAATTCCACACATAATACAGTATTTATCTTTCTCTGACTCCTTTCACCTCTTGTATATGGTGTGAGAAAGTGGTTCAGTTTCTCCTGGCCAGGGTGGCCCATGCACTGAGAGGTCCCCGGGGGTCGATTCTTGGTCAGGGCACATGTCCGGGTTGCAGGCTTGATCCCCAGGAGGCGGTGTGCAGGAGGCAGCCAATGGATGGGTTTTTGTCTCTCATTGATGTTTCTATTTTCCCCTCTCCCTTCCTCTCTCTCTAAAATCAACAAAAACATATTTAAGAAAAGAAAGTGGTCCGGTTTCAATTTATTGCATTTATCTGTCCAGTTTTCCCAACACCAGTTATTGAAGGGATTTGTCTCAAGGTTGTTGATTTCCTCTTTGATCCATTCATTGTTTAGTGGCATGCTATTTAGTCTTTACATATTTATGTGCTTTCCAATGTTGTTCCTGTAGTTGATTTCTAGTTTCATGAAGTTGTAGTCTGAAAAGACACTTGATATGATTTCAGTCTTTTTTCAGTTATTGAGGCTTGTTTTGTCACCTAAGGTGTAATTTATTTCACTGTTTCTTCACTTTCTTCCTCAGTGTCTAGGGCTAAAAGCTTTGTGTCTGGTGCATATCTGTCTTCCGAGTAAAGGTCTAGCTTCCAAGTTCTGGGGCACAGCTGAACTAGACTGGCTGGTGGTTAGCCTGAAGAAGTGCCAAAGATCTGGTGTCTAGGAAAAGGCATGTTGTGAGGAGATGAAGCTTACTGTCCAGGGCAGAGGGCTGGTATCCGGGCCAGGGAGCGGGTAACTTGATTTGGAAGACGGAAAAAGGGAAATCTGGGTGACAGCCTATGTCTGGCCTGGAATCCTGTGACAGGACTCTGGGGGTCTGGGTTACGTTGTGGGCAGTGGGATCCCGAAGGCTAAGTCTGGACCAGAGTCCTCTTTGGGCATCTGGGGACCCGGCTCTGAGGGTGGGCCCCAAGATCTGGGTAAGGGTCTGCAGTTTGGAGTAGAGGGTGCTGAGGTTCTGAGGGCAGTTCTTCCTTCTCCCCATTGGCAGGATGAAGAAGACCTCCCCTATGAGGAGGAAATTATGCGGAACCAGTTTTCGGTCAAATGCTGGCTCCGCTACATTGAATTCAAGCAGGGGGCCCCGAAGCCCAGGCTCAATCAGTTGTACGAGCGAGCGCTGAAGCTGCTGCCCTGCAGGTGAGAACGGCTTCGGCTGCCCACCTCCCCGGCC